CCCTGTCCCGGGCCCTCCAGAGATCATTAACCAACGTGACCAATGCCGTTTCCGTGCTGTGTCCCGGCCTGAAGCCCGACTGGTATGGGTCCAGATAGTCTGTTTCATCCAGGTGTCGAGGGAATTGCTGCGCAACCACACTCTCAACAACCTTCGCCGCAAAGCGAAGGTTGGAGACTGGGCGATAATTGGCCAACTCGTCTGGGTCCAGGGAAGGCTTCTTGAGGAGGGGCCTCACCACGGCCTCCTTTAGGGCCGCCGGGAATACACCCTCCTGCAAAGAAGCGTTAATAATTCCCTGGAGCCAGGCTCGTGTCCCCTCCCGAGCTGCCAGTACCAGCCAGGAGGGACACGGATCTAATAAACATGTGGTTGCATTCAGCCTCCCCTAGAAAACAAAATTATAAACCTTAATAACTAAGATGTTGTGCTGGATCACACCGACAGGTCCAAATGGAATTAAAAAGTTGGTTGTGACCTGGGAAGTCATCTAGTCTACCCTCTACTCAGTGCAGGATTGACTTGAGTTATTTCCAACAGATGAGCTTCCAGTTTCTTACTAAAACCTTCATTGAAGAACTCATCATTTCACAAGGCAGGCTGTTGAACATTATGTTCTCATAGATAGCTCAGGTAAATTCACAAGCCAGATTTAAATATATTATTTCTTCCATTTTGTGCTCCCAATCAACTGGTCATATGGTTTAAATCAGGGGTCTCCAACCTGTGGGCCATTGCCTATTCTCAACCAGGCTGTGTGAGTGGCAGGCCGGTGCATGCATATACGCGCACAGCCCTACTTGTGTAAGCGGTGGGCATGTGCACTCACCACTTACACAAATGAAGCACACATGCCTGCCCACCCACAAAACCATCCCCTCTTCCCTCCCCATCACTACACCAAGCCGCCAACACAGAAAGGTGGGTGAATACTGGCTTAAATACTGAAAGATAATATGTAGACACCGGTGGCTTCAATCTGTTACCACTGTAAAAACCATGGAAAAGCTGTTGAGCATATATTCCTGATGGTCCTGGTATGTTTATTATAATATTTCTGGGTAATATTAAAGTTCTGTAGAAATAAAAGATAGAAGCAACTTTTAGATGTGAGCAAATCTGGAATATTATGAATCATTTCCATCCATTAAGCCTAGCAATCCGGGCAGGTAGTACGAACTGGTATAACATATTTCTATTCATCCATCATCAAAATAAAACCATTCTGTTCTTTAAAGAAAAAACCTACACAAATTGCAACACAGCGGTCAGGTCTCAAAGGGTGTTAATTCAAAAACATGTGTTTGAGATACTGAAACTATGGTTTAGAATAGGTAAAGATACCTTCTTTGATAGGTGATCTCGCCACTTCATCACCAAAAAAGGAAAAGGTAAAACCCCCATCTTGTTTTTCAGCACTGAATTTTGGTATATCAGTTGAAGGGGTTTGTTCAGCATCATCATGCTGGTCCCATGATATTATTTCTGTTTTTTCATCCTGTTTTGTAGATCCAAGTGCTTCTTTTAAGTCCACGGCGACATTGTAAAATGTATCTTTAGACACCTCAGGCAGTTTCTGAGCTTCTTCTTTCTTCTTCTTCTTTTTAGCTTTACTATTTGACGGAAATAAGGATGTGTTAATTGCTAATATTTAACTGATCAAATATATAATTTTTATACTAGTAATTTATATCACATGCTTACACCAAAGAAATATAAATTCAGATGCTTCCACAATCCATTTTGTTAATGCATTCAATATATAAATCCCAGTAAAGTATAACACAATAACCCTAACTTGGGTTATTTTTTCACATAGTAAAATACTTGTATTGGTTTATAATCCAATTCAGCAAAAGCATAACATTTAATTTCAACATCTGATGGATGACCAATGTTTCTTCTAAAAAAGAAATCCATCAGAAGTCTTGACAATTAAGAGACATTTAAATATTGCAACTTCCCTCTGAAACCCCTCTAAAGTAAATATTTTTCTCTCATTCTTTCATTCCAATTCTTAATTAAAAACTGAAATGTTTTATTCATTTGCTGAATAAAATAAATATTTGACTCTAAACAATCAGAGTTGAAATAGTAAACAGGTCAATGAAAAGACAGGCATAGTTCAGAATCATTACCTCTCTTTTTCAGTATTAGCTGGCTTTTTTTCAAATACTGCATGATCTTGCCTTGTAGGGTCATAGCGTAAGGTATTCATATCTCTATAAGTAAATAATATTTTAATAATAATAATAATAATAACTACAAAAATATAATAATAATAATAATATAATAGTAAAGCATCCTTACGTAAATCTAGATACCATAAAAATTCCATGTGATAAAAATTTTCATTCTATAACAACATTTCTAAATATGCTGAAGTGCAAACTATATATAAATCAATAAAATGTCAAATAATTTTGAAAAAAATCTACGTAACAGTCTATATTTCTACTTAGAAGTAATCCCATTGAGTTGAATGGACTTAATCTGAGAAAAATGGGTGTAGGATTGTAGACTTAATTAGCAACCTTATGCTATCTTTGCTCACAATCAGCTAAAGATGTATTTTTCTATGTGTCAAGAAATAATTAGCTTTTACACGAGTGATTATATTATTAGAAAGGATTGCAATTATTTAATTATTTATGCCAATGTTTCTATGCTTCCCTATGTCAGGAGGAATTGGGATGGTTTAACAGTCTAAAATCTTACAGTATTAAAATAATAAATAAGCTCAAATCAGGGTTAAATGCTTTACATTTCATCATCTTAGATCACAGATGTCAAACTCGATTGCGTCACTTGACGTATTGTAACGTATTGTGATGTTTTTTGCCTTTGCGGAGCTGGGGTGGGAGTGGCCTGCATGTGACGCATCTGGCCTGTGGGCCACCAGTTTGACATCCCTGTTAGATCCACAGTTTCAGCATCTATCAAAACTTGCCTGCAATGCTAGATTAATTAGTGTTTAACTTGGGGGAGTACTATGAAAATAATGATAATTTATACAAATATAAATTTGCCCTTAGTTTTTCTACTAAAATAATTTTCATACCTAAATTTCTGGCTTTCTGCAGCTAGCTTCCTACGTTTGGGAGGGTCTACATCAATATGTAGAAGATTTTTCAAGATCTCAAGATTCTTCTTCTTTTCTAAAGAAAGTTCCTCTTCTTCCTCTGTTACCGATTTCTTTGATTCCTCTAACAGGAAAAAAATAGAACGGAGTTAGTTACTGACTTCACAGAACCAATACCAATTGCATTCAACCATTTCATCGAATCGTACATTATTTTAACACACGACTCTGAACTAGCTCAAAAGTTGTGTAAGACAGAGAACATGAGTACTTGGATCAAAGACCAAAAAATTATAGTTCTGTATGTTAAAAGAACTTAGTGCTTTTATATTATAGTATTGGGTTGGTAATTCTAGATTTTAGGTATTTTTTTATTATCTCACTGGTTTCAGTATTACTCCTGAAATAGTTGTAATTATTATTGCTGTTATTTATATTGATCTATGACCAAAACAACGATTAGAATTTGATCACCTTGAACCAAGCTCAACTTGAAGGATTACTTATTAAAATACAGAATAGATTGAAACTGATTTGCAACCAAATTTGTGTCAATTGTGGCTTGCTTTTAAGTTTAAATTAATAGATTCAGTCACTGCCTTATGAATCTGAATGCAAAGCAGATTCAGACATAAACAGCTCCAAATTTATCTATGTTAATAATAATAATGATAAAGTTGGAAGGTACCTTGGAGGTCATCTAGTCCAACCCCCTGCTCAGGCAGGAAACCCTATACCATTTCGGACAAATGGCTGTCCAATCTCTTCTTAAAAACTTCCAGTGTTGGCGCATTCACCACTTCTGGAGGCAGGTTGTTCCACTGGTTAATTGTTCTAACTGTCAGGAAGTTTCTCCTTAGTTCTAGGTTGCTTCTCTCTTTGGTTAGCTTCCACCCGTTGCTCCTTGTCCTGCCTTCAGGCCCTTTGGAGAATAGCTTGACTCCCTCTTCTTTGTGGCAGCCCCTGAGATATTGGAACACTGCTATCATGTCCCCCCTCGTCCTTCTCTTTGTTAAACTAGACATACCCAATTCCAGCAACCGTTCCTTATATGTTTTAGCCTCCACTCCCGTAATCATATAGTTAATAAAACTATATTTCATTGTCCAAAAGTATTTTCTTTAAGGTTAGCTTCAACTTCCCCATTATCTATGCTTAAGAAAGGAGAATGAAAGCATGGAAGTCTGATTCTCACTGCAACTATTTTGTATAATGAAGAAATCAAATTTGTTACATCCAAACCAATTTCCCCCCTCTGGATATATTTTCTTCATAGTTTGGTTAGGTTTAATTTAAGGTGCCTATTTCTATTTTTTAAATCAAAGATAGGTCCTCAAGAATCACTATCCATTGTCTATATATCATTATTACTATGGTTATTAGATTTTTATCCCACCTATTTATTTATACATACATAGTAAAACTCAAGGTGGCAAACATACCTAATATCCCTTCCTCTTCCTCCTATTTCCCACACACAATAAAGACCCTGTAAGGTAGGTTGGGCTAAGAGAGAGTGATTGGCTCAAAGTCACACACAGCTGGCTTTCATGCCTAAGGTAGGACTAGAATTCATTGTATCTTAGTTTCTAGACCCGGACCTTAACCGCTGGCTCTCCAGAGATATAGTAATATCTCTATGCCAATAGTAATGCAATACAGAAGATATAGCCCCCAAGCAACTAGAAGATGTCAGGTCACCTTCTAAAATAATCCATAGCCTAACACATATAATTAGACACATATCCACTTTCAAGCATTTTTCATTTACCAATTTACAGTGGAAGATATTTCTAAGAGATTCTGTGAAATACCTTTTTATATTTTGAGTTAGTCTCTGTTATGTACAAAGTATGAAAAGTATAGATGTAAATATACTAATATACTTAGTGGGGTTTTTTTCATTTTTCAAGGGAAACATATTTAACCTTGAAAAGGGTGTATGTTCTACTCTATACCATAGGTCATATGTAAAATGTTTTTAAAGGATCTTTTGATCCATGCAGAGGAATTACTAGGAAACAAATATTCAAAAAATTATAGAAAAAAGTTTACTATAACGAAGTCTTACAAGCATTCTATTAGCAATCAGCAAAATACTATATATCTAACCTTCCTGATCACTGTCACTTTCAAGGAAATGAGCATCCATACGAAATNCACAAATGGCCATTTCCTACCTGTGCTGATCGACAGATGGAAATAGTTAAGTGCAATTTATCTTTCCTTTGTTGATCTCCAAATGTTGCCACTATGTTCAGTCACATTTACTTTCTAGCAAATGTGCTTAAGTTTCAGTACATTAGGAATGTAGCATTATTGAAATGATATTTATATATTTTACTTATAGCCCTGTTTATTTTAAAATTCAGATTATGATGAACTACAAGAATTATTCCACATAAACATAAACAAACAAACATGTGCTCTATTGCTCTTTGTTTAAGTTCCAACTTATATAAGCACAGTACAATTCCTTCCAGCACTAATCGACTGAAATAAATAATGAAATAAATAGGCAAATGAAACAAAATTACCTGGCTGGTCAGAGCTCCCTGTATAATTATTTTCTGGAGCTCCCATTCTTTCTGCCTTTCTTGTATGGCAGCCAATCTTTTCTCGTTGTCCTCCAGTTGTATTCCCACATTATCTGTTTTCTTTGTTTTTCTGAGAGAAGCTGAGTAGCCGCCTTCATTTTTCAGATAGCCATTTAAATCTTTATTCTGTATAAGACTGGAAGTTGTTGGTCCCTTGGAAACAGACTTCCCATGTTTGGTGGGTTCACTTTCAGGCATAATACTTACATCATGGCTTATTTTCTCTGCTTTTCCAATACTGTCAGGGAGGTAGTCAGAAGACTCACCTGAGTTTCCAGAAAGACCTCCTACTATGGGAATGTCCAAGTCCAAGTCTTTCAAAGACAGTGGTTTGGAGTTAAGTTTCTTACTTGTCAAACTGGAATATTCTACTTCTGTAACACTTTTCAGAGACTCCACTTCAAGTTCAAAAGAAGACTGTTTCTTTTCACGCACATTGACATCCAACTCGCTCTCAGGCGGTACTCCGATAAGTGACCCCAGTCCTTTGAAAGGTTGAATATTCACTTTTGCCTGTTTTTGTTTCAAATCATCTTTGTCAGATCTCTCTTCTTTTAAAATGGCAGCAAGTATTTCTTCAGGGCAAATACATTTTTTGGAAGTGGTGGAAATTGTGGGTTTCTCTGGGGCAGTACCAGTTTTACTACCTGGGCAGTAATTAGTTTGTGATTGATTGGTACTTTGAAGTATTTTGTTATCTTCCTCTGAATCTTCACTACTTTCACCAGCTAATTTCTCTAAGTCTTCTAAGGTAAGATCTAATCGGAAGCCACTTTGAATCATGGATTCATAATCCTCATCCCCTTCAGACTCACTTGTGTCTGAACACGAATCTGAGTTTTCCTCACTCTCAGTTCTGCATCTGTCCAGAGTAGCTTGTGCATCTGATGGTTTTTCAGATTCTGCTCTTTTTTCTTCTGCTGCTTTGGACCCTTTTGAACCAGAAGATGGAGAACTTTCAGCATGGATGGTTCTTTTTGGCTGGCCATCATTCTGCTCTTCTGTTTCCTTAGAGCCCTGTTGAGATTCATTTCTCTCTTTGTCATCAGATAATTTAGTCACAGCTATAATTTCATCAGTGTCAGCTGAATCATAATCAGATTCATTTTCTGCAGGCCTTAGTAGTCCATTGCATGTTTGGCCTATATGCTTGTTTGCTTTCTGTAGAGACCAATGAGTACTGTATTTCAGTTTAAAGTCATCACCAACAACTTCCATATTATCCTCAGGCGCAGTAGTACAACTATCTTTGTGCTTTTTTCTCTCACTTGCTTCAATTGCTCTGATTTCTTCTTCTGAATCTATGTCATCACCACACAGGCTTTTTATGTGCCTAGAACTCGTGGTTCCAGCTTTAAGCTTTTGACCTGAAGAGTGCTGATTAGCTTGCTTCTTGGAGTTAGAGGTGCAGTTCTGAATTTGTTTTGCAAGGACAACATTAGCTGGGTTTGATTTAACTTTGCTTAGGCTGTCACTGTTCTGTATTTTTGTTTTCTTTTTTGATGGCTTCTTAACTTCAGGGAATTGCCCTTGTCGTTTCTTGCTCATGGTACTGTCAGCTTCTTCCAGATGCCAAGTGAGCTGTGAAATGGGAACTGAATTTATAGGTTCTTGATCTAGTTTTTTAAGGTTCTGGCAATATTTGGAAGGGTCATATTTCATTATGTTAATTTTTGAATTAAGGAACATGTAAATACCACTCTACAAGTAAAAGTTCAGATGTTCTAGAGAGGTTTTAAAAAATAAAGGACAAAAGCATTTATTTTAATGAAATCCTGCACAGGGAGTCCTCGACTTACAAGATTTCAGTTAGTGACCATTTGAAGTTACAATGGCACTGAAAAAAGTGACTTAATGACCATTTTTCACATGACCGTTGCAGTATCCCCATGGTCACGTGATCAAAATTCAAGACGTTTGGCAACTGACTCATATTTATGATGGTGAAACTGTCCCAGGGTCATGTGATCACCTTTTGTGACTGTCTGACAAGCAAAGTCAATGGGGGAAGCCAGATTCACTTAACGATGTTACTAATTTAACAACTGCAATGATTCATTTAACAACTATGACAAGAAAGGTCACAAAATGGGGCAAAACTTACTTAACAACTATCTTGCTTAGCAACAGAAATTTTGGACTCAGTTGTGATAATAAGTCGAGGACTACCTGTAAATGAAAAGATATATAAAGATCTATATTTATATCTCGATCTTGGTTGTATCCAAAAAGGAAAGCAATTACTGTATATAAAAGAAGGCAGCCTGGTTCAAGTTGTGATATATTAACAGGTTGTTATCTGTCTTATAGAAAAGAAAACCATTGCAGTATAGTTGTTAAAGTGCTGGACTAGAAGCAGAGACCCAAATTTTAGTTCTTCCTTATTCATGGAAGCTTGATTGGTGACCTTTGGCCATTCACTCCCTCTCAGTTTGATTCAGTGTCAGGCTCTGCAACAAACTGGCTGATAAACAAAATCACTCACTGCATCACACCCTTTGTTGT